TACATTGATTTTCTAGAATCTAGAATGTTCTGGAATTTTCAAGATTTTTTAAGAAATTAGTAGCATTTTAGTGTACATAAACTTTAAAGTGGTTTACACTCGGGTTTACATGTCGGATCAATCAAGCAAAATGGATTTTTGTAGTCAATGAAGAACAATTTTCCTCGGTCAATGATGAGCTAGACCCCACGAGGTAGATTAAAATATAAAATTTCACTATTTTTCGGAACCACCTCGTATAAAGGACCGAAAACGTATCGGGTGTATAATTGTCTCGAGATTCCAAAAATGTAAAAATATACAGGAGTACTCGGGAGTACCATTTAATTAAATTATCAAACGTCGCAACTGATATCAAATCTGCACCTATCATCCCTCGTATCATCCTTATATCGAATATCTCAATAAAAGCAGGGAACATTTTACGTAATGTCAGGGACTAATAATTTTAAAAAATGCTGTCACGTCACCCTACCTCTTGCAGGTGGTAGGTACCTAAAAAGGTCACCAGCGCATTTAAAATTAGGTATATTCTTCAATAGTTTCTTACAATCAAATCGTTGAATCATACTAATTTCTTTGTAAGTTTATTCCCAAAATTAAAGCTCAATTTTGGCAAGTTTAAACAAATTACTTATAGTAATATAGCTTTGCATGGTACATTGTTCAGTCATCGCAAAAAAATGATTTGGGAAAATAGTTGAGGAAGGCCTAAATTTGAATGGCTCAACTCTCCCACGTGGCTTTGTTGTGTAACTTAATGCTTACAAGCGGAACAAAATGTTTATTAAGAAAACAAGAAATTGATTTGCGGCAAAAATGTGACGTAACGAGTGTTTTTCGTAATGGTTTTTTTCTTTTAAATAACTTTGTGAATAATGTTTAGGGAAGTAGGTAGTTGAAAAACACTCACCATTAAAGGGCGAATCTAACCACAAACGTTTTAGGGTGTAATTCACGCGGGGATTGCACTAAACGTACATGATATCAATGAAGCACTTTTATATCACGGACTTTTACCAAAAAATGCAACGTTTTCATTCACGATTTGAAAGAAACACAAACGCCAACGTGCCAGGAATGTCTGTTTACTTTCTTCGTTTCTTGAGGCATTTAATTAAACGTCGTGTTACAAGTGTCGTCATCTGACGGTTTATTTTTTAACTGTCACAACTAGGCGCAAAACTGACTTTTTAAAACTAGCCAATGGAAAACAGAGGGAGAGAATACCGGGTATATAAAAGAATATGAAAAAAATTCATTGCGAGAGGAGATCTGGGGAACAAACAATGCTTATGAACGAGTCCTCCCCCGCATGGCTTCCCTGCATACCCATTTATAAGACCTTCCTTCATCTTTGTATTCTTTCCAGTTCACCCCATTCCTTCCACTCCTATATCTCCTCTGCATCCCTTTCACTATTGCATCGAATAGGTACTTTCTTGTTCTGAAATTGATCTTGACACTTGTCTCATCGCCACCACTCCCTTTTCCATTAGTTCATTTATTTGCCCATTTACCCTATTATTTCTTTGCATTTAGAACCCTAAATATTTAATTTCTCTTACCTCTTCTGTTCTTTTCTTCTCCCTTTCCTCATTATCTTCGACTGTTCTACATTTATATCCATTCCTTCCTTTTCTCAATACCTCTCCATTTTTCCCGTCCAACATCTTCTTCTCTTCCACTTTTCTTTCCAATTTTTCATTCGGAACCATAGCATGCGTATTCTATGCCGCCGATATTATCGTAATTCGCCTATAACAGTCCACATAGTCTTTATCGCCTGTTTTGAAAATCGGCAGTAGAACCCTTTCCTTCCGTTTTTCTGGTAAAACCCCTCCCTTCCAAACTAGATACTAGATTTCTAATCCTTTTGTTGATCCTGTATGTGGCAAAAATACAAACCCCATTTCCTATCTCATTTCTCCCTGTCGCATTTCCTTTCTTCAGTTTTTTTAGTTGCTGTTCGATCTCCGGTCTTGTTATCTCATGTCCGTCAACTTCCTCTCTTTCATAGCCTCCCCTTTCTCCTGCTTTCCTTGTAGTACCTTGATAAAATTATGTTTCCAATCTTCTAATTAATTGCCTTTCCCACTCACTTGTTCTATTTTTCTTTTTCCTTTGTTTATCTATCACCTTCCAAAGATCCTCTTCTGTTTTTATTTTCCTGATCTTTCTATCTTCTCTTTTAGACTCAATTCCATCGGTTGGTGATCCGACTCTATTCTTGTTCTTACCTTAACTTCATCTATTTCTTCCAGTATTTTCTCATTTACTTTTACCATTGAAAAAACACTATTTTTATTCAATGCTATTACCTAATCAATTACCGATCTTCCGCTTCCTCCCTCATATTTCCTTTTAAATTCTGTGTTTTCTGATACCAGTAACACTTGTCCCTACTTTAACACTTTATTTTCTACCTTTTCCCATGTGAACACATTTTCCTTTAATTCCTGTTCGGGCATTAAGGTCCTTTCAGTTACCATATTTCCTATTTTATTTTTTAACTCCTTCATTCCTTCTCTGGTGTATCGTTATCAGGCTCACATGCTTCCTCTCCACTTCTACTCGTCTGATCTGTATTCCTTCCTCCTTTTTCGTTTCCTCGCCCCGTTCCGTTGCTCCTTTTTTACCCCTGTTAATATACCTCCTTTTGCTCTTTCCTTTATATTATGCCTCTTCGCATTCCATTAATATTTATGTTCTTCTGTTCTGTACTGATGGTTTGCACTACGTCATCCGTCGATTGTCGGTTAAAATTTTCCAGAAATAATTCTTTTCTCCTCCTTTGTACAATTTGTAGTTCTGCATTTGCTATTTACGATTTTCAGGTACCTATAGGTGAATGGAAGTCGGAAACCATATTCAATAGCACCGATCCTTGAACTCGTAGTCGTAGAAATCGATTAGTGAAGGTTTGACACCGCGTGTTCTCGAGTTAAAAGAAGAGCAGACGGACAGACCGACGGAAAAAACCCTCCCTTAAAGGGAAATTTTTTTTCTTTTGAAATTCCCCTAAAATGGGATATACCTTAGCTTAAAGAACTGTATGGATCTGTACTAAAAAAGTTCAAAGTTCTGAAAAATAACAAGGCCAAAGTTTTACAAGAATTTGGCGATGATGATTAGTTGATTATGAAATTGACTTTTGAGAATTAAGGTCCCCAAGAATAGGTATATGAATATACTAATTTTTCCAAAAATATCTGCTTTAGGGAGAAAATCAGAAATTGTACGATAAATCATTTTCATATTCATAGATTTTGAGAAGTAAAGAACAAAGCAGCACAGTTGACAGTGGAAACCGCAGAGGAAGTAGAGAATGACAACATCGGAGAAGGCATTCTAACATTCTATCAACGGAAGTAGCGGGAAACAGGAGTCAGGAATCAAACAAATTACATATTAAATCTTATAAGTATAGTATACTACGTTCCTTCCTCAGATGTATAGCAATTAGATATAGGTACAAAAGTAAATGGTGGTCGTTTGACCTTTCTTGTACCTCAAATCCTCAATACCTATTTAACCCATTTGTTTGGATTTATATTGGGAAAATATGTTAAACTTTCAAGCATAGGTACGTACGTGGGTCATTATTTCTTGTATTGCTTATAGAAGTTAATATTCAGTAATGTTTATAAATAAAAGAAACGGATAAAGAAGTTGTAGGAGATAATAAACTATGATCAATTAATTATTTATACCAAGGGAAAGGGATTATGGGTGCTACCGTTGAATGAAAATGAATGGTTCTACATATGCGACCACATAAAGTCGTCGCATTTACAAAAATTGCATTTGCGCCCGTTAAAAATGTTCAAGTAGGAAGATACTGAAATTTAAAGCGGCTTTGTTTGTAGCTTTAGAGCTCGGAAAACCCCAGATGTCCCTTTTATTTTGCATCGCAATTTTATCACCATCATCATTCATCAAGGAGACATTGTTATTCAGATTCTTTCAATAAGGCATTCCTAAACAACAGACGTTTATTTGAAGCAATCACATTTAAATCTGTCCAGTGGAATAAACTTTTTGTGCTGACAGTAAAGCCTCTTAATAATTATTAAATTTGTCAGGTTTACCTCACTTGCTATCCTCCTTAAAAATAGTCCCCTTCGTTTTCCTCAATTGAAGTTGTGGATATCAATTTTAAAACCCCGATGGTGCATTGAAAATAAAATATAATAGTTAACAGGCAATTTTCTAATCTTATCATGTTAGCACAAGAGTTTTTCTCGTATTCTTTTGTAAACGAAATTCAATAAAGTAAAGAGAAGAATATTACGTAAATTCCTTTCAATGTAGTAGAACTGTTAAGGGATTACGAAATCGACCCGTTTTTGTGGCCTTCTATCTACATCTTTTGAAAGATAATTGTATTTTCAATTACCTATGTCAAACAGACGTGTACCTTTTACGCAAAAATCACGTTTAGTCTTGTTTCGTCACGAAATCCATCGTGTCGATTTTAATTATCTAAATACTTGAAATATTGCTCGTTATGATAGGGAAATTATCGTAAAATTGTGGCATTTGTAGGCTATTACGGAACCCTAAATTCCAGTGCGGTTTTATTTACGTTAGAAAACAAGAAAAGCTTGGAGACCCAAATATTGAAAATTGTATGATGAATTTTTCTAATGTCATCAGTTTTCGTAAATAGGGTAGGTATAGGTAAACACTAAAGATATTGAAAATCCTCCCCTTTTGGCAACAATAACTGGCCGTCACAATAATTCCTTTACTGAAAATAGCTCAAATCCTTTATTTCGTAAACAAACTCAATAGGCGACCCAGCTTACCTGGGAATTTCCAGAGTCCATTTAACATTCTTGAGGTGTATGTAAATGACTTCTTAACAAAGGAGTTGGCTCTTTAAAACCGCGGTTCCAATTACGTTCGCCGTAGGGATAAGAAATAGGATTTCAGACTTGACTATCTTTCATCTGTTTGTTCATCATGGAACATGAAAGTCTTGAAAAATAAATCAATTAGAAGAAATGATGATTTATTTGCTACATTATAAGTTATAGATATTTCCTTCTATTGTATCAGATTAAATTTTATTGTATATATACAGCAAAGGCCACATTACAAAAGCTAATGTATAGGGTAGTAGTTACAAATATAGATAATAAAAATAATGTAAATATGATACGCAAAAACGGTCAGTTCTACAACCTCAAATCTAATAATGAATGAAGAACAGTTAATATACGATACTAATATCGTTTCCTACAATAGGATCTGCTTTATAACAATTCAAATATATTTTATACCTTAATACAAAATAAAAAGTATAGCGAACAATAAAATCACGAAATTAACAATTTCTAGTGAACGATTATCGTATCTAAGTAATAAATATCTAAGAATTACATTAACAAAACTACAAAATTAGATATAAATACATTTTGTGCAGTCGAATATTAGTAATATAATCACTTTTGTTATACATTAGTAGATCAGTTGCGGTCGAGAGCGAATGAAGCTGTTTTCTAAACGGGCGGCAAAGCCCATAATGTGGCTGTTTTGTCTGCGGATGTAGATAAGAAGGAGAATTCGGAAGGGTGCCATCGGGCGGATATTACTTTATCTTGATGTTGCGCCACCACTACACTGGGCAATGGCAGTGTTAAATCTCCTGAAAATGAAAAAAAAATTCAGTAAGGTACTCCATAAGTATCCAAGAGATTAGGGATAACATGATGCACGAAAGAAATAGGCGTCCATGGTGGTGCGGCGGTATATAGAAACTTACCCTGTAAATCTGTAAGAACTAATTTATTATCATAACCACCAGTCAGCAGGTAGTAAGCTGATGGTGAAAATCGAATAGATCTAACATCGCCGGAGTGCGGTTTGAACGTTTGTACACTACGGCCTCCTCTGATATCGTACAGAACGCACGAGCTGTCTTCGTGGCCGGACACAAGCAATCGTCCTGATGGATCCACACACAAGCTGGCAACAGGAGATCCCTGCCTCGTTCCGGGCACCGTGCACGGCGTAACCATATTGACACAGCCTCTCGTTCTCAAATCCCAAAAACGGACGGTCTTATCGTGCGATCCGCTGACGAACATCGCCCCTCCCCATGTGTACAAAGATAAAATATGACCAGTATGTCCACTCAGTGCTTGAAAGGGTGTGCCCGTAGCGCAATCCGTGACGTAAATTTTGCAATCGCCCGCGCCACCGCTAATCAAAAGGCTCGATTTGTTCGACGTATCCTCCAAGAAGCAAATATCTCTAACTGTGCCGTCGTGCATTGAGAGCTCGACCTCGTCGCCCTCCAAGTTGGAGGTGTCCACGTTGAATTTCATTAACTTTACGGTTTTGTCGTTGGATCCCGTTGCCATTAGGTCCCCCATCGGCGACCATGCCAGACAGTAAATGGAACCCTTGTGATGTTTGGTTCGTTTGAAGAGCACCATTGGCTGGTACGTTTGATGTTCTTCTCTGAAATCATTTTCCAAATTATAGTCATGTTTCACAAACTCTGATTAAGTGACAATAGCATAATTATTTTAGTTTGATAAATACCATGAATACTTTTTACTCGTCCATTTATAACGGGACTATTGTAACAATGGAAAAATTTGGAAAAATATGTGTTCTATCCAGAGGTGGGCAGTATTCGATTTTGTAAATACTTTTTAGTATTCAAATCCTTTAAAGTATTCAAATACTTTCTAATTAAATACTTTTATGGAAGCAGTATTTGTATTTGTAACTCAAATACTTTCACAAATATTTAGTATTCGATCGACTACACCAAAATTTCTCGGGAAAACACTTTTTCTTATTAATTTTGGTGCGTAGAATCCAAAACAATTCGCACGTTTTCCATTAGACCTCTCAATAAATACTTATGGCCAAAAAACAAATTTCGGAAAAAAATTCAAAGGGCTGTAACTTTTGATCTAGTAGCCCAATCTTGGAACTGTTTGAAATTATGGATTCTACGGGCCAAATTCTATAGGAAAATGTTTTTTCCCGGTCGATCTCAGACAATTTTTTTTCGGGGCTCAAAAAAAGGCAGTGTATAACCTTCCTTTTTTTTCCAAAAATCGACTACACATTTTGAATACTTATTTTTTTAAGTATCTGAATACTTTTCAATGTATCTGTATCTAGTATTCGCTTGTGCTGGTCGTGAAAGTATTTAGTATTCAAATACTTTTTGAAAGTATTCTGCCCAGCTCTGGTTCTATCCATCTTCTAAAATAGAAAGATAATAAGAAACTTGTGGTTGGGTATAACTTTTTAATGGATGGATTAATTTGTTAATCCCCTAGAGATCTCCAGCGCATGGACGCGCTATTAATTTGGGACTACTGGTAGGCGCCACAATCAAAGAACGAATTTGAATTCAAAATTCCAAATATGCAGGCAACAAATTAAATAAAGAAAAGATATAGTCCTAAATTCAATGAAAAGTGATACCACGAAATACGCAAGCCATCTCTTTTTTAAGGGGCGCAAGAAAAATATTCGCCCAATGAACACTCTTGGAGATTCGTTCAGTCTGCAAGAAAAGTTCATGTAAGTGGCGAATGTTATTTATCGCAGCGCCGAATGTAAAAGGAAAATTCCACCGTTTGTGAACGGACTGCCGCCTTCTCTGGAAAACATCTGCCATTCGAAAATTCGCACAGCGTTCGAAAGATTCGATCTCAAAAGCTCGCCTTTGGAATATTCGCCCCAAGCGGCCATCCCTTAGCAAATTTGTTCTAAGAAAAATTCACCTTCAGAGAAAGGAAAAGTTCAGTAACCCACCCTTGAAGTACTCAAATGCCTTATTTTACATGAGATAACCTAAACTGCATCCTAAACCTATGTATTGCACCCCTATGCGAAATAAACGACCTCGAATCCTTGTTTATATATTATATTAAATGTTCTGCCAAACGCGACCTCAAATTTGCTTGTCCTAAAAACACGATACTAAAATCGTTCTGTTTTCAATTTTCTATGGATACAGGGCTTGTGCTTATTTTCGATAGTCCGTATTTCTCAGCGCCTACAGCAATTCACGTTCGTGTAATTTAAGGAGATAGAAAGAGAAGATTTCGGAGAAATCTGACGAGATTCTGAAGGAGATACCGGCGTTATTTGAGATGCTCCAAGGAAATACGCTATTTTCGGAGAGGCAATGTTTCGTCCCTGGTTGTTTTTGGTGAAAAATTTCCCAGTCCAAATAAATCATTCTGCTATTCTTGATGTCGGCCAAGTATTAATTTGTATTGATAATTATTTGATTTCTAATAAATTAGAATTTCTAAGTAAAAGTAATTAAAAACTAAACTAAAAAAGTTAATTTTCAACTGAGAAAGTTTAGGCTGTTGTAGATTCCTGCATTAGAATTTTGCGATCTGCATTATCTATTAATAAACAACAATAAAAATAATATTAGACAATTATATCTATTTCAGTAAAAGTGATGAAGTCTTAACTTAATCTGACAATCTTAGTCAATGGCTTTACCTTAGCAGGAGTGCACCATTCAGAAAATTGTAAAAAAACCGGATCAGATGTTTAAGGAAAACTGAATGCGTCAATCTCCAAATTTTAGTCCATGCTTTTACCTTCCACCCCATGATTTAAGTTCATAAATTGTTCGTTCAAATCGTCACTGTTGTGAAATGCTTTGATCTAGCAAGGGTATGTAGGTATAAAAATTTATAAACTTGATCTGGGACTTTTAAGGTGAAAGCGGTGAATAACATTTGCAAATTTGAACGAAATGAGACGCATTTTCGCTTTTCTGAGATGAATTGTTTAACAAATTTCGCCAGGTTTTAACGACAATTTTTCGTATACCTCATGTATGTTACCAGGGGCGGACTGGGTACTTACGGGCCAGGTGGAATTGCATAGGTTACGGGTTACGTAGAATCCATAATTTCAAACAGTTCCAAAATTGGGCTACTAGTTCAAAAGTTACAGCCCTTTGAATTTTCTTTCGAAATTGGTTTCTAGCCCATAACTTTTGATTGAGAAGTCCGATCGAAAAAGTACGAATTGTTTTAGATTCTACGCACCAAAATTAATAAGAAAAAGTGTTTTCCCGAGAAATTTTGGTGCAGTCGATTTTTGGTAAAAAAGGAAGGTTATACACTGCCTTTTTTTGAGCCCCGAAAAAAAAATTGTCTCAGATCGACCCGGAAAAAAAATTTTCTTATAGAATGTGGCCTGTAGAATCCATAATTTCAAACAGTTCCAAGATTGGGCTACTAGTTCAAAAGTTACAGCCCTTTGAATTTTCTTTCGAAATTGGTTTCTAGTCTATAACTTTTGATTGAGAAGTCTGATCGAAAAAGTACGAATTGTTTTGGATTCTACGCACCAAAATTAATAAGAAAAAGTGTTTTCCCGAGAAATTTTGGTGCAGTCGATTTTTGGTAAAAAAGGAAGGTTATACACTGCCTTTTTTTGAGCCCGAAAAAAAAATTGTCTCAGATCGACCCGGAAAAAAATTTTCTTATAGAATGTGGCCTGTAGAATCCATAATTTCAAACAGTTCCAAGATTGGGCTTCTAGTTCAAAAGTTACAGCCCTTTGAATTTTCTTACAAAATTGGTTTCTAGTCCATAACTTTTGATTGAGAAGTCCGATCGAAAAAGTACGAATTGTTTTAGATTCTACGCACCGAAATTAATAAGAAAAAGTGTTTTCCCGAGAAATTTTGGTGCAATCAATTTTTGGTAAAAAAGGAAGGTTATACACTGCCTTTTTTTGAGCCCCGAAAAAAAATTGTCTCAGATCGACCTGGAAAAAAATTTTCTTATGTGGCCTGTAGAATCCATAATTTCAAACAGTTCCAAAATTGGGCCACTAGTTCCTTTTCCGGAAATCAATTACAATACAGGTTTTTTTAAATTGCAGCTGATAATTAAAAGTAACAAAATATACAAACCAAACGAGGCGGGTCGCCTATCATTGTATTTCATGACTTCAATTAAAACAGAATTTTTTTAATTTTTTAACAACCTAACATCAACCCCAATTAGAGAAACGTGTTAATAACTTATTAATAGTGCAAGAAAATAAATACAGCACATACTTATAAATTTCCAACGGGCCATTATGATGTACAGGCCAGGTGGCAATCGCCACCCGCCCCCCCGGGCCAGTCCACCCCTGTATGTTACGTTTGAAAGGTTCTAATAAAAGTCTACGTATTGTAGACAGTTATTGTAGTAAAGGAAAGCGTATTGTGAAAATACGACCATTTGGGGAGTAGAAATATTCAGAGAAAAAGAAAAAATGTCCAGTGTGTTTTTGACTCTCTCTGATTGTACTTACTAAAATAAGAGAACCACAAAATTTAGTAGCCACCTGTCGGAACTGTTCCATTTGCTATTTCCTTAACGAAATTGGGGTATAGGGTATTGAATTGAAGAAATTTTCTAACTTTACATGTACAGCCATTGAATAAGTTATTGAATTTTCTCTCAATAAATCCTGATCTAAATATCGAATGAGGAAAATATATAACAGTGCCCTGACTACATGAGAGATCGATGTACAACATTTGAACGATTCGGTGGACACATCTCGTTTTTGGCATGTCTACTGACGGATTTTTACTATTTCCAAATTTTTGTAAAACTTTTTGTACTTTACTCAACACTAGAAAGTGGTGGGATTTTATAATTATTGCTGTTTTATCACGCTCATTATAATTGTATTAATTTAAGTTTTCGTGTTAGCGAGTGAAGTATCTTTTTGTTCAGTCGGCCACAAAGATTATGCCTACTAACTAGATTCGAAGAGACTGCAATAAATAATGTATGGCAGTTTTAATGATGTTTTTTGTATATATAGATTGGGATTTACGTATGCAACAAGGGTCACGTTATGACCTTTACTAACGCAAATTAGTTGAGTCTATGCAACTGCCAAAGGACGAGTATTTGGAAACATGTCTTGATGTTGCACAAACGTGCTTAAAGATACAAATTACAGGTAATACATGCTAGCAAAGCAGGAATGCTGCGCTTATAACAGTTACCCGTTACAGTTTTCTTAGTTTTGAGCTACTGTACCTTCTTACGTAAGTTTCATACGTTGAAGGTCAAGAAGAAATGGGCCACTCATTTGTATATCACTAACCCGTATAGCTACGGTATTTAAAATTAAAAACTACGAAAACAAGTTTATTACATTAAATTAACATAAGTGAAGTGGCACAGATTTTACAACCAATTGATTCGGCTAATTATTGCGTTTTACTGCAATTTTAATCATAACTATTAACAATAAATTCGAAATTTATTTATTAGGCAAAGAAACATGACAAACTCACGAATGCAATTATCAAGGAGAAAGTTGCAAAATTTCAATTTCGTTATAGCGAGCGTACTACTCACCTAACGTCACCCAATTTCGGATATCCACATATTCGAAGAGTTTTCGAATTGGATCCGACGGCGTACAGCTGACCACCGGGGTGGAATTCTGCACAGCGAACCGCCTGGACATCTTCGAGGGTCGTAACGGCAACAAACCGAGGCCTAGTCCCGCTACTTGCATCGCTATTGTCCAAATCGATACTTTTCGTCTGCAACAAAAAATTTAAAACGTGTTACGGCCGTTACTTTCCAAAGTCGCTTGATTAAACTTGACTTGTAATTACCGATGCACGAATAGAGTGCTTATTAAATTAATAACACGGCAGTAGCAAATACTTTTGAAAAACGCTAATGTGTAACGGATCTATGTATTATTAAAATGAACGCAGTTATAGCTGTACCAATAGGAAATCCGTATGTATTGAATTCAATGAAGCGTGTAGGTACCTAGAAAAATAATCGAGAAACTATGCCAATAATCCACGTTTCATCAAAATAAGCATCTGAAGATGAATTCTGAAGTACTGACCTAATACCCACTGACGACCTTTGAAGAGTGAAGATTTTTAATTTCATTAAAGAAAGCAATAATTTCTTCAATTATAGTACAATGAAATTTAAAACTTACTACCTGCAGATGTAATTAATGTTGAGATAGCTTTCATGATCATGAACCAAAAGCTTGTAAATTTAAACTGTTGGCCAGATGTACATTTCCTAGTTTCTTCATAGCCAATAATTCTACAATCTCACGCATGAAGTTGAATATTGCTTAAAGATTAATGAATTTCACAAAGCACGGGTAATAATAGTAATAATTCGCCACTACACAATCATTTTGTTTTTCTTTTTAAAAGCATATACCGGAGAAAAAGCTAAACCTTGACTTTTAGAATACAAGACAGAGAACTTATAGTAACCTACCCTTTTAGGTAGTAAATTTTTTACTGTCACTTGTATTACAAACGTCGCTTTTTACATAAAACATTTATTTCTAGCTTATCTTAAAAGATATCAGTGATGTATTTGCCGAGGTATTTGCATTTAACAGATAAAGTAGGTAGCTAAGTTAGTCATCTTCACAATAGTACAACCGGGGCCTTAAGCAAAGATTCCTGAATCTTACTAACATTGAGTATGTAAAACTCAATTTTTTCTAATGGAACACCCCATACTTTTTTATCAATTATACAGGGTGTAACCGCAAGCTGTGGCGCCTACAGTCCGACTTCAATGCAATAAAAACCATATTTAATGACAGCAAAAATACTACAAAACGGCCATCATTAGAACGTTTTAAATTATTCTTTTCGGTGACTACTAATAGTGGACTCAAATATTTTAAATGGCATGATTATGTTTTTTAATTGAATTTGATAGAATTTATCTCCCTAAATTCAACGATTATTGCTAAAGATAAGTAAGTACTTTTGATTCGAATTTTTCACACAAAAAATTAAAGAAGCTAATTTTTCAAAATGTTGTAGTATGCTATAGAAACAATCCTCTTTATGCATCAAGTGTAACAGAAATCGTGAGGAATTTTATAGCATGCCATGCAAACAATCCTTTAATAGCTGTCAATATGCTTTAGTGTGGTTTAATAAATTAACTGATATGTTGCAAGTATACAATCAAAGCCGTGGGTAAGCAGGGCGGCTGTATCGCGAACCACTCCCTATTTGACATCCTCGAGGAACCACGCAAGTTTGTTAGACTGGGAGAATACTTTATGTCTTTCGAATAATTTAATACAAATTACACCATTATTTTTCGTTTCCCTATGCTTAATTTAAGTTTCCGAAATTTAAACAAAATACGTGCGGGGTTATTCAGTTGGACAGCGGGTTCATACAAGAGATACAAAAGTTGTGGGGAATCTCCAGAAAACCAAAAGTAGAAAAAAAACAAATGAATATCGCAAAGTTGGTAAAAATGGAAATTTTTTCAATTTTTAATGGAACGCCCTATATATTAGAATTAAAATTGACTAGATCTTTTCTTTTTGATTTCATAAATATATCATATGTTGACTTACACTATACTACAAACTGTTTTACCAATTCGCAGTTGCCGTGACAAAACAAATAATTTGAACGCCACTAATAATTAATTATTTATTCTGCTGTCGAAATTACTTTATTCCATTCCAGCTATAAAATATGGGTTCTACAGAAGAAGAAAAGGTTGAAATAGTTCGATTATAGTACAAAAACGATAATAATGTTCCTCACGGGCAAGCGGAATATCGGCGAATTTACCCCCATATGGCATTTCTTTCTAAAACCGCTTTCAATAGAAAGAGAGGTGCATGATGGAGCAACTGCGATTTGATAAAACATTTTGATAATATTATACTGTAAGCCTTGCGGAATCCCCACCCTAATTGGTTTAGGGCTACTGATTTTGTTGTTAACTCTGACAGTCTGTGATCGGTCAGAGAGATATTATCACAATTAAGAGCGTTTATTTATTTATTAAGTTTATTTATTAAGAGATTGTGGTCATATGAAAAACAAAACTCGGTATCGATATAAAATAAAATATTAATGATAACGAAAATTCATTTCCATCATCTAAAAGAACAGAAAAGGTTCCCTAAAGAAAGTTTTTTTAGTTTTTAAATATCTCCCCAAATAACCATTTTAAAACCACAAATCAAAAACGTCAATTATGTTATTTTTTGTATACTCCGTGGACTAAATCAATGTAGTTTGTCATTCATTTAAAGGACTAAATTGTCGCTTTTTTTAAGCGATCATATCTCCGCTGTCTCTATCTATGCAAATTAGCGAAATTTCTGTACTGAACACGAAATTTGTGCAACCTGTATATTCACTATGGAAAGCTCCCAAAAAAAAACATCCTAACTTAACTTGCAAGCAATAATCCCCATTCGCCTGGACTCATAATATGTAACTGTGTTATTTAAATATTGCAACTGACAAATAAGGCAAATTTAAAATATCCTGCATTACAAGAAACTGCAATTAATGCCATCTTACATGCGGCGTTGCGTTATGATCTTATGATTAAAAAAACACGAAATCTAAGCTAGATAATGTTTATGAAGATAATTAATTCACTAACACACTTTCACAACTACAGAAAAAACTTACGCTTCACGGTCAGTAAATTCAAACATAAAAATTACAATCAGTGAACAAAATTAATAAAATCGCGAGTAAGAAAGCCGAATCAATACAGGCCTAGCTCCAACTTTTCGTATGAATAACATGTTGACATATCTGGAATCAATCAATCAAGAACATGAATGAAATGGTTTTTGGTAATCATTCATTTATACGGGCACGACTACTTTGTCAAAGAAAATTTTCGGTGCATATCATTCTTGTGGTATAATTGGAAGAGTAGAAAAGTTTATACAATGGAATGGAATAATTTTAAACTAGAGCGTAGTGAAAGATGATGATGGAAAAATAATTGATCCCTGTAATTAACCAAGAATTTCTACAACTGTCTCGGTACGCGAATGTTATAGAGCGGTAACCAAATTTCGTTTCGCCATATAGTATATTAAGCTACAAGGGTGGTAAGTGAAGTTTACTTATGGTCGAGGGCAAGGGCAGACCTATAGAAAAACTTATACCATCCGCCTTGCTTACAATATTTTTGCACGATCGAGAACAATCAGTGGGTAGGTATGTCAGAAAGAATTAATTCCAAATGGAAGTCACCATATTAATTTAAAACGGAATTTTTGGTATAATCTCCTAACAGTCTGTGGGCTGAATATTCGATGTTGCGGACTGACATTTCGAAATACACTAAATAAATAGCGTTTTTGAAAGAAAATCTAATGTGTTTACCAGAGAAGACATGAACCGATTCTTAACTGAAGAATTTTTTAATACTTAAAGTATTATAGATGATGTGTAATGTGCAATCGAGTTTCATTAATTTCAGGTAGTGCTGATAATTGGAATAGCGGGAGCCTGCAGGAAACAATTGTCCAAATATTGGAATACGGCGAACTTACACAATTATTAACCACAAAGACGAAAAGATAAATTTTCTGGAACTTCGTCCAAAATATTGTTCTACAACATTCAACATGAAATAGCTAAAATGTTTGCTCTCTATTAGTCGTACTTAACTGTTTGTATTTCTTTGTTGTTAATTGTACATGTTTTTTTCCAAATAAAGAGTTGTAATTAAGTTACATCACCGTAAGGGATTGGAGTACGTATTAGATTTAACAGGTCTAGGGCGGTAAGTATGACCTACAACCCTCCTCTCATATCTTGTAAAATGTCAAAAACGGCCGATCGTGCAAAAACGATCTTCTTCCGACCGGAAAATTTGATGTTTATACTGATTTGATTAGAATCCACCAATTACAGCTCGTTATATTTATACTGATTCACTTATTCATTAGTCGCAACTCAACTTTATCCTAAACACTTTTCGGCAACCGAGGAAAAACGCCATCCGCCATCCCTTTTAAAAGCTCTAAAACACCAACACACTAAGAAGAGTGGATTTGGAAAGTGTGAAAGGAGATTACCATTTTGTCCAACGTCTGTCTACAATCGATTCCGCATCTTCAAATACTTATTTATGTATTTATGTACAATTAAGATGTTTACACAAACAGTTACAAATTCTTCCGCTGTCCACGACGTATCAATATACAATTATCCCCGCGGTACATATAACGTTTCATTTTCACTTGCTGGACAATAAAAATTTCTTAATGAATCAAAACTACGAGTGCTTTGCACTACAATTTGGCCTGTGGCTATGGTGTCATTTGTTTACCTAATAGTGTATTAGTAAAAACCGAGGCAAAAACGCAAAAAAGTGTATCTTAAAACGATTGAAGAAGGTAATATTCCAGAAGAAATTCTTTAACGTGCAGCTAACAAGAACGTCAAGGTCAACTGAAAAGCTTAAATTCGAAGAATGGGGTAAGTAAATTAACGAAACCATTCTGAGGGGCACGTCGTGCAAATCGGATGACAATATCGTCTATGGGGTCCTTTATGAGCTAATTTAGAGTTCTTACACTTTTCTGTATAGATAATGAATTTCTGAAAACGTGAATTTTGTGAGTTTTTCGAATGCTTTATAATTTTACGGTACCGGAAAAAAGGCCCCTGGAAAAAAACCCCGGAATAAAAACCCCCGGAATAAAAACCCATGGAAAGAAAACCCCCCGGAAAAAAACCCCGGAAAAAAACCCACGGAAAGAAAGACCCCCTGGTAAAAAACCGGAAGAAAAACCACAGGGAAAAAAGGAAATATTGCGCGAGAGCTAAAGTTGCATATTGTTTACTGAAACAGGAATATCAAACAGAACTCGGTTGAGATATTTTAACAAATTTTCACAATTTTTACAAAATACGTAATTGCATATTATCCTAAACTACCATTAACCCTAATACTATGACTTATAGCTTCTAAGAAGTTTACCACATCTCTTTGTCCGGCGCTGTATTCTTCGCAGATATTTTTTAGTCTACTTTGCAGCAGTACATATTTTGCTTTCTTCTTTTTTGGGATTAATTGACCTAAATGTTGTAGGTGTAATTTTAAATGAATTTAAAGTATGTTTTCGCAAACGTGATTAAGATCACAATCCTTTGTTAATATTTAACAGATGAATAACGTTGGTTTGAGCCCATGTCATTTGGTAAACATCAAAAATCGACCAATCATATACCATATAATCATTGATTAACTAACACTCTTTGTGAAACCGGGTATAAGTTACTGAACAACGCTTTTTGCAAGCTAATTCAGCACAGGACTACACAGTTCGCACTTTTAGAAATCTTACGAAGGGCCGGTTCCACAATGCAAGTATATACCAGGTATAAGCTTTTTCAAGTATAAAATCTAAAAATTCAATCCAATTTTCAGATTTTGTACTTGGAATATCTTATACTATAAGTATATACTTGCTTTGTACAATCGCCCTAAGATGTATACCTACCTATTGTGGAGATTTAAAAAAGGGGGTTTTCATTCCAGGGTTTTTTTTCCGGGGGGTTTTCTTTCCGTGGGTTTTTATTCCGTGGGTTTTTATTCCGGGGTTTTTTTTCACGGGTTTTTTTTCCTAGACTCATAATTTTAATGACTTTACCTAATTTTTTTTAGTGTTTGGGGGTTTCGGTTTTCGTGGATACAGTTCGAGATCCATGTGCGTGAACATAGCACCCTTACAAATACAATTAGAATTGAGTTCCTGTGCACCTCTCATAGTTCTCGACTTCTGTCATTTTTTATACGGGAAATGAATTATATAGAACTTATTAATAATGACTTGCTAAGGTTAGGTATTATTAATAGAACTTCAGTGATCCATAACTCCGAGCATAACTCTTAAGACATTTTTTTAGAAGACATTGCACCCCTTGTAAACTTTGAAATGTTTCCACACGGGAAACGGATTATAGATAGAATTTTAGGAAGAATGTTCAGTTTGCCTTCTAATTTTAAAAGCAGTATTTCTCGGGCTCGGATGGTTTGTAGTGACTATTTTTCAGGGAGGGGTATCGAATCTTCTTTGCCTGAAAGGTATTCCATATCTCTTAAACTCCCTGTTGCTGTGTTGTCCCTCAAAACGTTTAAAAAAAAAATAAAAATTCGATGGCCCTCCTTGAAAACTTATCACATAAGTCCTAAGGGTTCTCAATTTGGGGGAGAGTCTAAAAATATCCCCCCCCCCCAGTTACATGCACTCCAGGAAAGAAATATTTCGAGAATTGGAGTATTGGAGCTCCAAAAGCGTTTCCTTCCTGTAACGTACGTACATCTTATGTAGATGCCCCCAGATCCCCCGGTCTTAAATTCTCCCCAGATTTTTAAACTTTAGTACATTTGTGGTTATTTTTCAAGAAGATCTATCGAACTTTCTTTGCCTGAAAGGTATTCCATAGCTCCCACACTCCCTGTTACTGCGTTGTCCCTCAAAACGTTAAAAAATAAAAATTCGATGGCCGTCCTTGGAAAATGATTACAAAAGTATTAAACGTTTAATAATTTGGAGGAGAGTCCAAGCTGAGGGGTCTGAGAGGTATGGAAAAATGCTTTCCAGGAAAAAAATATTCCGTGAATTGTTTATTGTTCCGAAAGATCTTTCCTGGAACGTATACTAAATGGGTATTGAATGAGTGTTTGCGAGTAGGAATATTGAATGAGTGTTTGCGAGTAGGAATACATAGTTGCAAAATATTTCTATGAACGTGTGACACACAGGGTTTTTATGTGTTGAAGAGTTAAAAATTTGAGGGGAAAAGTTGAAACGTACATCTTAAACTTTTGGTTGATGAAATTCGTAAAGGCAGAGCCGTCTTAACAAGTGAATGACATTTACACGTAGCTGTATCTACAGAAAACTAATAAGCAGGTAAGTTGTTGTAATTATGATCTTAATTTAAATTTAAATATATCCAAGAGAATGTTTAGTGATATTTTTTTTTGCTGGCTTAGGTCGGAAAATGATAACTTTCTTGGCTACGAAAAACAATGCTTTGAATCACAAAAACGTTATTATTATGCGAGAAATAAGAGGGGATGACACCTTTCTAAGTTTTGATTCGTAAATCGTAAAAATCAGAATGATCCAAATTGCCACAGATGCAGGTGCTTTTGAAATAACATATGTTTTTCAACAAATTCTAAATTGTTCGATTAAACTTTCAATTTCTCCCTAGTTGCCAAGAGTGCTTCTTCATTAACATTCAATAGCGAGGAATGTCTGGATTGTTTAAAATATTGCAAATTATGAAATAGATGCTATCAAGAGAAATTATTTTTCAGTTTCGTAACGCAAAGTACACGATGCAATTGTTACAGAAAGTAAATAGAATCATTAATCATAAATACGTTATGCAAACACAATAATAACAATTAGCTACCCGCATTGTTTCGCACGGTCCCTAATTAAAAATGAGTTTAGATTTGTTACCATTTTAATTGCGGCACTGCACTACATGCGAAAAACGTTTTCTTAATAATACGAATCTAAGAAAGAAAGCAAATTCTTTTATATACGAAAATTTAAATAAATGAGCGTATAAAGATCCGAGCACGTTCGGCGAACTTTCTCCTCAGGATGACATTTCGTTTCGGTCATTTTTGTGAATAAAAGTGAAATCAGGCGAGGTGCAAGCAAAAAAGGTAAAGTATACCTGTAAATTTTGCGCAACGTCGTAATTATCAAGAAGCAGGTTGTCCATCGATCTCCTGTTACTGCGATACTTTTTGCTGTGTTTATCGTAGTTGCTTTTATTCTTGTGTCTTCGGCCGATTTTGTTTCCGTTTTCGTCCTCCTCCCACTCGGAGGACATTTCGACGAATTCTGGTCTGACATCATCTAAAGATCTCGATCTACACTGGCAAGGATGAACTTCGGCCTTTCTGGAGGTCACCCTTCGACGAGTCGGATCGATCATTAGGAGGCGATCTTTGTTGGGGTTTGGGGGTGGAGGCATCGCGTTTCTGTAATAGGGTGCTAAGTAACAGTAATCCCGCGACTTGTTTATCTGGCAATAATTTGACGAGTTATAAGTGGAATGGGGCAGTATATAGTTGCCACGCTCACGCCAATCTGGCGGTTTAAAGCTTAAGATCTGCCGATTGTGGGCCAAGTATTGGGGGTGGACCGGCGGCCACCCTCTTCGAGACAGCATCTCGAGACTTTGCCAGTGCTTCACCGTTGGCGGTCGCTGCTTCAGAAGAAGATCACCCATTTTCATAAATCACGCACAAGCACTACGAACATTAACACTACCGAACATAACGGCGGCTTTACTCTGAAGACTTCTTCGCGTACGTGCAAAATAACCTACTTTACTGCCCCACCAATGCGAATAAACTCATTTCCTCTTCTAAGCAGCACTTACCCGATACGTTTTTTTGAAAGTTTGCCAACATCTGTTAATTGTCTATGATTTAACTTCATTAACGGAACAAATCAAATTTTAGATCACTCTAATTACGTAAGATAAAAACGTCTCCTCGACTGTCCCTTTCACTGTTCAAATGTCAAGTGCGAATTTAACGCGCAAGTGTTAAAAATTGTACTCATGGGACCACCAAAACGAATTTTTAATAAGTCACAACTAATTGCATTTGATCAACTTATTGAGAAATTAATGAGTTTTAGCATCTGTAACGTGAGTCGCAAATTTTTGAAGTTCGTGACGATATGTGTGGCTACCACCTTTTATTCTTTTACGGGTGGTATAATTATAGGCATGTAATTTGTTTGATCCGACAAACGTTCTGCCATTTGCACATGATCTGAAGAATTTTGCAGATTTCAAAGACGACCGTGAAATTTTATCAAAAAGAAACACATATGCGACTTTGCATTTTGTGGCACATTTTTAAAACTTCCAGGAGAGATTTTAGATACTTTATTCTCAACAGGCTTGCGCCCAATTACAGAGTGACCTGCATAATGCTTTTTAGAGGATTAATCTGATTCCATCCGCACTATACTGCGGCCCAAACTGGAGAACAAAGGGTTGAAGTCCAGTAAAAGTAGACATTGACTCAGAAATTTGAAAAAACAAGCTGAAAATTGGCATACTTGGTGAGGATGGTGCTAGAACTAAATCCTGAAAAGTCCCAAAAGATCCCGGTTGGGGGCCATCTTGAAAAAACTACCCCTAAATTTGATTTTCCGATTTTTGAGCATAACAAATGAACGGATGGTCCAAATTTCGTCGTCAAGGTGTCAAAATGGTTGTTTTGATGTTTGTTTTGAGGTGAAATAATTATTTCGTATAATACGATGCCCTTGCAACTGTGACCTTTTTAAAAAAACCACCCCCATCATGGGTTTCTCTCTTTTCCGGCTATTGTTTGAGATTGAGAGTACTAAATGAACACTATTTTATTCATTATATTTTTCATTATTATTTGCAGTCAGGTTAAGTTGCACGTAAAAATATTTAAATGCATTTTACAATTAATGTAAATAAGCGGAATCCTTTCAACTATTCGCACATTCGTTACTAAGAAACCGTAGCTTCCAGATTTATTTATTTCTTTTAGGAATTGGAAACAGAAGGTGATTTAACTTCTAGCGCCCCTTTAGCTGCCGACGAGGAAACCAGTTTCCGTATTACATAAATGAACACTTTCTAAGATAACCGTTCCTTTTGCTATTTAGGTAGTAAGGTTACACAAGATAATCGTTGCAAGGAAGATATAAAATCCAGGATAGCGCAGGCTAAAAAAGCATGGGCATAAAAGTGGGACCTGCTAAGATCCGAGATAAATATAGGAATTAGGAAAAGATTGCTAAAAACGTACAAATGGAGTGTAGGTCATACAGGTGCGAAACCTGGACGATAGGCAGGCAAAAGTAGGATAGAATGAGGATTAACTGGATGGATAGGGTAACAAACGAAGCAGTCTTGGAGCTAGTACAGGAAATAGGGAAATGTTGAAAACCGTACAGAGAAGACGAGATACAATGATAGCGAATGTGCTAAGACACGGAGGAATAGCACTACTAGCTATAGAAGGGGTAGGACAGAGGGCAAGACCGGACCAGAGAGGACAAGCAAGGACCACAGATACTTAAACACATAGACCAAATAGTTAGGGACGTAGGCAAGGGTAGTTATGTAGAACTGAAAAGATTAGCGCAGGATAGGAAAAGGTGGAGGACTTCGTCCAACCAATCCTAGGATTACGCAAACAAAACAACAAATGCCGAAAACGTGAAAAATCCAGGTTGGGGGTGATTTTCCTAAAAAGTTCGAATTTCCAAGGGCTTCTTTTTACTCCAAATACACATTAAAACAAACATTTTGACACCTTAGCAACGAGAATCAGACCATTGGTTCAGTAGTTTTGCTCAAAACTCGAGAAATCGAGTTTAGGGGTAGTTTTTTCAAGATGGCGTCCGTTCCCCAACCGGGATCTTTTAGGACTTTTCGGAAATTGGTTCTGGCACTATCCTGAACATGTATGCCAATTTTCTGCTTGTTTTTTCAAATTTCCGGGTTTGGCCCTTATTTTGTCTAATTTGACTGGACTATTGGGACTACTATCCAAAATGTTGCTGACTCAACCGCTAGTATTGAGTCAGTTCCAAATGAGCAGATCCATAAAAATTAAATAGAATCCTTAATCCCGTTATTTTGTGCTAATTTTTAAGTCAGGTGCCAGATTGTATACCGCCACGTTTTAAACACTAGGACCAAACCATTGGGGCACAACCCTGGCCTATATACTCAAAAAATTTTAAAAATTTGTACTAATTTGTACCACCACGTTTTTGCAGTTTGGGCTATGTTACGGTTGCAGATTTTTGTAGCACAATTATGGTCCATATTATACAGATTCGTGTCGTGATTGCTTGCCCTCGGTATGTACTATCATTTGATCATCTTTTCGTGAAATTCATGTGGATGCTCTGAGTATACCTGAATGCTGTAACTCCGAGTTCAAAATTTCATTTTTTTATACCAAAATGTTGGTACAGCACTTGTTGAATCCAAATTTGAGGGCTGCGGTACAAATCATTTAAAATGATTACAAAATCAAAGCATAAAAAATTGTACGGATAATGGTATAAAATTCATGCGGTACAAAAAGTACAAAATAACGGAATTAAAAACTTGTTGGACCCTTCTACGAGGAATTAATCGAAAATCAATTAATTGGCGAAAATGGATCTTTGCCTAATTTTTAAGTCACTTCACTTAAAAATCCCTAATTGCTAATGTACAAATTTTCAAATGACATTCTTAAAAAACATAAAAAGCATATTACGGCACCCATTTGATATACGAAATTAACAGCTTCCTGCCAGTCACACAGCTTGGTTTTCAAATGTGCCCATGCTATACACTATAAATTAGTCAAATTACTAATTTCACTAAATTATTTTTGTGTCGAGTGAAAAATAATTATTATAGAAGTTATGGTGGTGTGAAATTTGTGTAAAGTGGATTTATGCAAATTTGAATATAGAAGGAGCGCGTATGCAAGAAAAACTGCATACATTATTACAACTTATTTTTAAAAGAATAAAGCCTATGTGTATAAATTTTATTGTCGTAATTTAAGGGATGATATTTGTAGATTTAATATCAATCGCGATATTTGATGTATAATTTATGTCAAAGTAACCATTTTCGGTTTTAGAAGATGAAGATCGATGGAGAATGATCCTGCTCAGTCAACGTGTCTTTTTAACAGACAACTCCCCTATTGGAATCGAATTATTATACTTAAAGAACTGTTCTATAACTACCCTCATATTATAAATGTAGTCCCCATGGGCGGCACGGGTCCGTGGGGGGCAGTTCTGGGGGCTACAATATCGACAAAACTTAGGTTTGGACCTGTTGTGGCATGATTTAGTAGAATTTTTTTAAGAATATACAAAGGCCCTGTGATGACTTTCGTCAATCGTACAAGTTCAAGGATCAGTGCTATTAAATATGAGCCGAATTAAAAAATTCCCCTACTGAAAATCGTACGCGATTCTTCGTATCTTGTTTATTGGTGAGGTTTTGTCTGAAAGATTCAGTTGTTCGGGTTTTTGAAGGCTTACTCTATTATTTTAGAAAAGATCCACAGAATGGCCGTGGGACTATAATTCTTCGTTTTATCTTTTGATTTAAATAGAAAACGAATCCTGGCGAGCTTTAAGACATCTGTGATAAGCCCAGCTTCAAAGCAATCGTTAATAGTACAAGCGCGTGGCTTGGAAATGAATTTGGCAACGACCTCAGTAATATTTTGGGGATATCATCATATCAAGTGGATAATGTGGTCTTTAGAGCCCCCATGATTTTTGTATATTCACAGTCCGTCGATATACAAAAATCATCGAGACAATTTTTGGAAAGGGTTGTTTTATAGAGTTCCACCATCTATAAAAAAAATTGAGAACGCTCTGGGAGTCACCCAGTTTAAAAGACAAAGCATTATTTTGTTTTCAAGACCCCACCAAAAAAGCAACAAATTCAGACGTACTGGTTTCGTTTTCTTTTTATAAATGTGGTAATATTGTTACCAATTCTCGTAAATTGGGACAACCACCTATTGTAGGAAGTATTTCTAATCTTATGTCACTGTTTAAACTTTAGAGTATTTAAACAATGCAAACAAAAGTTATCCGCGTTAACAATATTCAGGACATTTAGACTGGATTATGATCATCAGGGCTGGGAAATTAAACAATATCCAAAAAGTTATAAATTAAAAAGACGTACCATTACAGAATCCATCTCGCCACATCACCTATTTGCTTGCAAACCGACATCTCATCACCAAATGACGAAACATCCCAATTCAGTTTTGGAAGCCGATGTTGCACAATGCCTACATCTTAATCACTACAATTGACTTTAACTAATCATTACGTACAAAATTATTTGAAAGCGAAGTTTTCACAATAGGAAATATGCCAACGGCTCCTTAATTTGGCATTAAATTAAAGGCTTCCTCGGTCAACGACAAAGCCGTACCTTCCCGTCTCCAAAAAATGAACACCAAAAATAGAAATATATTTGATGCGGTAAATGGGTCAGATTGCGAAATATTCACGAAATCAAAACACGAACGTAGGAGAAGAACGGTAAAAAATTACAGCGATTAAATACTCATTACAGATAATTGGCGTAATTAGTACATTGTTGAGAATATGCCGTGGCATCTGTTAGATTAACATTTGGCGAGCATTCCACCGATTAGTAAAACTCTTAACGTGGTTAAAGCT